AGTCAGAGTGGACCTCTGGTTTTCCAGACATAAGCCAGGCATATAACTGCAATACAGAGTCATATAATGGTTAACAAATCCCCCAAATTAACAAACATCTAAAGTTGCAGAAGAGTAGAAACCTCTGAGACTTCTTATAATTCCCCTATTTCCCAGGCTGAGTAAAGGCATGAGCCCTTAGACAAAGGTTATCTACTCCCCTGGCCCCCCTGTGCTATTCAGGGATAATTTAGTTTAATTTTTGCATGTTGGTTCCTTAACCCTTCTAAAAAGAACCACCACTCACAAGTAAAGATCCTAAAGGAAATTTTTTTTTAGCAGAGATGGCAGTTTATTGAACTCAAAAATTCTTCTTAAAGTAGTGCTGAGTTCCTGCTAGAATATTTTTTGGGGTTTCAAAGCCAAATAATAAATTTAGATGATTGGCAGTTTCTGAATAAGAACAAATGACCACACTAAGCCCCTCCAAAGTACATGTGGGAGCCAAAATAAGTTTGCAGAGAAACTAGAAACACCTAAATACTACATGTAGAAGATTCCAAATTAGTAACGGATACTCAAATTTGTCACATCAACAAACTAAAAAGTCATCTTTTCTACAGCAGGATTTTGCATTCTTACAATTCCTAACAAGAATGGAATTGTCTTTAGGATTTATTTTTTCTTTTTTTTTAACAACCCTTCAGCTGTACAGTAACAACTACAGAAATTTTATCTGATTGCTGCTGGCAATGGGTAATCTCCAAAACAAGAGATTACACACGACAGCTGATCACTAAATTTATGTATTTTTCATGTTTGTTTTTCCCCTAAGCATTAACCTACCACATCTAAGAGCCACGTTATCTCCTTGGGGTAGAAGAAACTGCATACATCAGAAAGTTTTGTGAGTTACTTTGTTACTAGAGCTTGTGGAGGAAGATAAAAAATCTCTGCCAGGAGAGTGGTGGCATATTATATGTAAGAAATGAAATCAGCAGTAAGCATTTAACGTTAGCACAAAAGTACCTTTTAAAACTTCAGGTTAAGCCTTTTGAACCTCTTAGGATAAACTTGAAATGTAACAAGAGCAAGTATTTCCTAAATGTTGCCCTAACACTACAAGCCCAGAGTTATTCATCTGTCTTACTGTTGTAGCAGTGCTCACTTTCATAAAGTTATTAAAACTGAGTCACTTGCAGTGTGACTCAGAAAATGGAAATTCAGCCTTGCCAAACCTTCCTTCAGCTCTCCAAAGCTTGCCATTACAAGAAACCCCCCAAATTTCTTAAAAAGATGTTTGTAGTTTTCCTGGTTGTAGAGACCTTTAAAATTTGACACATTCAACCTACAAGTTCAAAAACCAGGGGGAAGATGAAATAAACTTGAGGCTTCTCCTGTATTTATGCAAGCTCTGTTCTATTTGGGCATGGAATACTTTATCATACTCCACTTAGAGTAGGAGAAGATAATTAAGATAGAAATAGGTTAAAGATAAATAGATTACAGAAATAGAATAAGATAAGAATAAGGAAATAGCTTGTGTAGGGTAATTTCTCTAGTGAGATATTAAATTTTAAGATAATTGCAGCTTTAAATTTCTTTCACAATATTGGATTAGTTTGTAAAGTGCTTCCAATCTTCCTGGTACTCAGGAATAATGTGTAATACTCAAGTGATAGAAATTACAGTTTCCTTTTCTTTTGTCAATTTTATGTCTCAAATACAAAGTCACTTCTGTTTATCTAATACTAGATTATTCAAAGCAGGTCATTTACACACACAACTATCTCCTACCTTTGGACACTGTTTTAAAGTTTTTGCAGGATAAACAGCTTTTCCCTTTTTAATTGATTTCCCAACCATTTACCCTTTGTCAGTGGTTGGGCTTGACCATCTTAAAGGTCTTTTCCAACCGAAAGGATTCTATGATCTGTGTGCCAATATCAATCTGCAACTCAGAAAGTTTATTTACTGTGGCATATAACACTACAGCTGAACATTTTCTTGATTTTGTTGTCTTTTCAATTTAAGTTTCTACATTTTGTTCACATCCTTTTCACAGAGACTGAATAGAGGTTTTAAGAATCAGAGGAAAAAACCTTAACAGACCAGAAGTCTAGTGTTTGTGAGGAAATGTTTCATCTATTAGCACCACAGTACTGTCTGATGAAAGACATTCTTTTAGAATGAAGAATGAACTAGAACTTCTGAATGTGTAGGCCATCACTTTTCATCTGTCACAATCCAGTTTTACTGGGAAGGTTATAGGTACAAACATTGTCCTTACCTGCTACTAAAAAGGGGCTTCCCTGCCATAATATATGACTTTTTAAACAGCCCCGGAGAAACTTGTTTGTGATCCTAATTAATGTATCTTCAAAGATTTTAGCTGCCATGGGAGACAACTGGCAACATTCAGTAGCACCCAGTGAAAATTTAAATGAGGTCCTATTACTGGGCAGTTCTCTTAGGATCATAATTTTAACACCTATAGAGACAGTGAGACAGTTTTCTTCAGGGGGTACTTTGATCTTTTGAAATGGACTGCACTGATTTTTACTGGTAAAGGAGAAAACCCCTATGTGATGGACAGGAAATAGCTTTGTTGCCTCAACAAAGGCAGGACCAGATCATTACACATGTCATGGCCAGCAGCCCACGTTTGTAGAAATGTTTTGTTTGCCCTCTGTTCAGAATTCTCCAGTTTGTAATTGTAAAAAGTACCCAAGGTGTAGAACAGTTATGGTCCACAGGAGTTTGCCTGAAACTCCTTTAGAAGAGCGTAATTTTTTTCCTCTTCAGTCCCAGCTGCTGCATCCAGGATCATTCCTCACCTTGGGTGCTCACTATAGACCTGTGATGCCATGACCTTGGGCAGACTCCCTCTCCAGCTCTAGAGGACAAGATTACCACTTCCAGCTATCACCCTCTTCCTGAAAATGTTTATTGCTACCCGCCTCACTTCAGAAACAACCAATAAGCGGTTGTGTTGATCAGTTTGAAGGCAGGAGCCTGCTGTGAAGGGTCTGTAAGTGCCAGCAGCTGGGCCTGGAGGTGTGCCCAGAACCCCCCCAGCCCCCGTGGCCAAGCATGGAGCAGTGCAGGCACTCCTCACCCATCCTGCTGCAGTGCTGCTGAGGCAGCGTCTGTGCTCGGAGTAGGCTTGGTTATCATCAGCCCTAGGAGCCAGCTGGGAACTGCACAGCCCTCAGATCTAGGCTCATGCCCTAGCTTCATTAGGTCAGGAGGTGCTGCACTTCTGCCCTTTGTGCCCCATTCATCTTGCAACTTGGCACATGGAGGGCAGGCTTGCCAGCCAACAGAGGCACCTATGGGATAAGTAGGAGTCATAGGGGATATTATAGACCTGAACCATCTCGGGCAGAGTGCAGCTTAAAAGACAGACCTGCCACTAGCTGGATGGTCAATGACCACGAGATAACACAAATAAAAGGGGTTATATCAATTATCATTGGCTGCTTTATCAGCTTTTTGTGATAAAAGAGAGGAAGCTTGCTGGAGTTCTCTGAAACAATTAGGGCACCTACCCTAAATAGAGCTTTTGAGGTTCCCAGCCGGAGCTGGAGGAGGCATTTACTGACAGAGGGGAAAGTCCAGCTGTTCTCCTGTGCTCTGCACTTCCTCTAGGCTAGCTCTAAGCCACCCTCTCCTCAGAAGGAACCCAACATTTACCTTTATCCTCCCATAGCTTTAGAAGTGCAAGCATCTAACTCTGCACTTTGAAGATTTCTTTGGGAATCTAAAAGGTTGAGTGATGTAACTGGTTAACTTAAAGGCTTCTAATTCTTTTTTTTTAGAAGAAAAAAGGAAAAAAAAAAATATCAGCAACTATGGAAGTCAGCCTTAAATATTGAATGATTGGTGGTCTATATTTTTATTATTTATCACTACCCTATCACCTCCAGAAAGTGGAAATCCGAGAAGACACATTTTACAAGAGCTAAACAGGAACCATTCTATGGAAAGGATTATGTAGCTTGCAGCACATACCTAAAAATGTGTTATTGTTGGGTTCTTCCCCCCCTTTTTTCTTCTTCCAAAAGGCATACTCTAACTTTCTGCTCTGATTCAGATGAAGACAAAACGGTAGTTGTTAACACCATAGATAAAGCTTTTTATTAGCAAGACATGAGTAGCAGTATTTTCAGAGCTTCACTAAAGAGTTTGCAGTTTCATTAAAGGTGGTCCTCCCATCCCAAAATTCTGTCCTAGAGCGTGTATTAGGCACTGCATTCTGCAAATACAATAGCAGTTTAAGTATTCTGTATGTCATCATGGGAAAAAAGCTAATATTGGATCAATACCTGTTGTTTTTGTCGAAAGCAGCAGCTTGTAGAAATGTGTAACAACACACAAGCTGTATTTGTCAATGCCTTGTGTGGTTATGTAATTTAATAGGGAGGTTATTTCAGAAGGCAAAATCACTTTGTACAAAAAGGATTTCTTGGTTTGGAGATTGAAGCAAGACCCCTTTGGTTATTATAGCAAATAAGCAGAAAAATCACTTGTGCTTTGCTGAACAGAAGGAACTATTATGTGAAGCAGGAGGATATCTTGGAACATGAAACCAATCTTTTCTTCCTCTGAGTATTAAGAGTAAACAACTAGCAGAACACAAACACTTGGTCATGGTATACATTAATAAATGTGACTGTTGGACAAGTGGTAAGCAACACGTGCTATAAAGCATAGCTCAGCATCTTTGAAAACAAACCCTTTTTTTTTACAGCTAATTCTTTTCACTCAGGCAGACATATGGTATGGTATTCACTGTACACACTGCTTTTACATGTAGAACAAAGTACAAGTGTAATAGCTTCAAATTAACAAATAGGTAAAAAACCAAAATGCAACCTACCTGACGTATTTAAGCAGGGCAGCACTGATGTAAAGATTAAACTGTCAACTAGTATCTCTAGCTGTTTTCTTTTGTTGGTAGTGAGTTGTCCTTATTTCTCCCATAGTCACATTTTCCCCGTTATCTTTAACCCTCACAGGTATATAAAAAGCAAGCAGCTGGAAAGCTTGGAGATATTAGTCTCAAAATGACTGAGCAGGAGAAAGAATTTGCAGGGAAGACAGCTCGGTACCAGCAAGAAATGAAGCACCTCCAGCGCCTGCTGCAAGACAAACAGGAGACCCTTGATGAAGTGCTGCAGCAGAAGAGGTAAAAGTCAGTCGGGCAGAAGCAATGCACTTAGATCTGATGGGTAAAAGGGGTGGGGAGAGGCAACTGCCACAGCCACAGGCTCCTGCTTTTCATCAGAGCCGCCTCTGGTGTACTCCAGGTGTCTTTTCTCACTCTTGATGCAGCTATACTGAAAACACCAAAACACTCCTCTTAATTTCCAGCACCAAGAAGAACATTTTGAAGGAGGAATTTATTCTGGATGACTACTGCTGTTCTTAAGATTTCTTCTTAAAAAGAGATGGGGTAGGGGGGAGATAGAAATCACCAAGATACACCTTATTTAACAGCATTTTCTGCTAAAGACTGAACACTGTCTCCTCTGCAACCCTCAAGAGTTTTCAGAATAGTAGGAGATTAAAGGAATCTAATGAGTATGCATATGGTGGATTTCCTTTTGAATCTCCCTTACTGTTCTGGTAATAAGTGACATTGGTTTAAAGATGAAAAGATAATTTAGCAGATGGTACAAGATTCCAACTGTCAGTGTTGAAATACCCTTTAAATACAGAGTCCTTTAAAGGTATTTTTCCCCTCTGGTAGTGGAAGGCTTCATAGCACAATCATGTTATCAGCATCCAGGAAATACTTTTTACAACTTAGGAGAGGTAATTAAGCAGATATTTTGCAAGTAATCTCTGCCATTGTGAAATAATAGATTAGAGACAATAGAAAAACAGGGCTTGGTATCACCTACCTTGTATCAGCACATTTCCTTTCAGGAACAGTGCTACTGAACAGGTGTAAGCAGCTGGGAACTGTATAATGAACTTCTCACTGATCTCCAAAATCTGCATGAGAAAGTATTTTGCCTATTCCACATTTCTAGCTGGCTGTGGCTGCCGACATGGGCTCCCAACATCAAAAGCAGAGCGGCCAGCAGGTCAAGGGTGGCAGTTCTGCTGCTCTGCTCTCCTGAGGCACCACCTGTCTGGATCCAGCTCTGCAGTCCTCAGCACAAGACAGACGTGGCCCTGCTGGAGTGGGTCCAGAGGCCACAGAAATGATCCCAGAGCTGGAACCCTTCTGCTGTGAGGCCAGGCTGAGAGAGTTGGGCTTGTGGAGCCTGGAGAAGGCTCCAGGGAAACTTTATTGCAGCCTTCCAGTACTAAAAGGAGGTGTCTAAGAAATGATGGGGAGAGGCTTTTTAGCAGGGCCTGTTGTGACAGGACAAGGGATGAGGGCTTTAAACTAAAAGAGAGGAGATATAGACTAGATAGAAGTCATATGGCTGATACCATTCATTTAAACTTGTTTCCTCATGTTCCTTTATTCATTTTAAGTATTATGGTAATATAGTTTCCTAAAGTAATCTTAATTACCTATGTAATGCCTGTCTGCCAGAAATTAAACATATTTTAGTCAGTTTTGTGTATTTCTGGTTTTACAAGGCTTTTTATTTTCTCTCTCCCTTCTCTCCACACGGTCACAGAAGTAAGGAAGTTAAAACTAGTTGCAGTTCAGATGTTGCTGGTCACCTGCAGCTTGGCAACCAAAGTCATTGCTGCCAGCACGGTACCAAACATTTACATTTATTTCCACTATCTCTATTTACAGAGTAAATTTATAGTCCAGAAAACTGCCTAGCTGATAGTTCATAATACCTGTATAAACGTTAAGGTAAGCAAATACAGTATTTGTGTATTAGCTTCTCTAATTTCAGTGTTGTACATTTCAAGTAATGAAAATCAAAGTAACATTCCACATTCAAGCAGAAAAGATGGTTTAAAATTCAGCTGAGGGTAAGCTGACTGGACAGCTCATCTTCCATTTTATTCAAGTTACAGTTTCTCTTTACAAAGACTATAAAACAAACTAAACTACTTTTTAAGGCATTAACCACAGTCAGTTTAGTCAAAAGCACTGTAAATAGGTGAAGATAGAGAACTTTTCATATAAATGCTTTTGCTCTTACATTTAACTTTAATAGTGGAGTTAGGAACTCTTACCAAGCCAATCTTAGCTACTGCCATGAAATCCTTTATTCTAAAAGTTTACAGTTTACATCTGTTGTTGTGGTAAGTTTTCTTACAAAAACAAGGGAAGTTACCACTTCAGGCATCAGAAATTAACAGCCCTGGAATGGATTTTTTTCCACTTGGTTTTCAAAGAGAAATGCATATCGATATAATTGTTCTTTTGATAAATAAAAGCTTTTAAAGCTTCTGAAGATAAGCAAATTTTACCTTCTCTAAAGCTGCTTGGTAGAGGTATCTTCAATAATTACAGCCTTTGCTAGAGAAGACTGGAAATTCCCAGCAGCCTTTCACCTAAAGAACTGACAGCAGTATGGCTTTCTGGTCTTCAGGCAGCTGATAATCATGACCCTTTTACTGGTCAGAGTGATCTTAACAGTCATCATTATCACATACCTTCCCTTAAATGAAATACATGTTTCAGATATAAACGAAGTTGTTAATGTAGTTCTAGGGTAGAAAACCAGGTTCATAAACACCTCACGTCTCACTCCACAGGACACTTTGAGTTTTCTAGGTCAAGTATATATTGTAAGTCATGTGCAAAGGGACAGTAGTTAAAGGTAGGTAGAACTGCTGCACTTCAGTGGTGAATGTGGCTTTGAAAGCCTCAGTAATGAAACTGCTTTAGGCTGTCCTTAAAAGAAGGTCGATAGTAGAAACACTTTGCAGCCATGCACAGGGAAGGGAGAGGAGCTGCCTTGCCTCTAAGCTTACATACAAAATTAGAACCACAGTAAACACTGATTTTTGGTATGAGGATTATCATTTAAATAAACCATTACAAAATAGATGAAAATTAATTCTTGAGCCAGCAGCCAAAATAAGATTCTCGGAGATAAAGGCTGGATGACTTCAGTGAGGGCAGAAAGATCTGTCTTTTGTAAGGAAGAACCTGCTGTCAGGATCTGCTTCTGTTAACTTCTCCATCCTCAAACTTCAGTGCAGCATCAGTGCTCACTCCCAACAAGATACAAAACCTTTCATTTTTGGCTAGGTTGGGGGTTAAGCTGAGTTTTAATTATTACTCATTTAAAGAAAAAGAAATGAAATTTGTGAGCAAAACGTAATGCTTTGTGCCTAGAGACACGTGGGAACAGGACATACTGCTGAGTATGTGTGTAGCTTTAAACACAAAGTGACGTTGGAGGAGAGGAACCAGCTGCTGTGGGCACAGGGGAACAGCAGGAGTCACCATCAGGTATAGCAATGCTCTGCAGAGCTTGAGAGAATTTCTGGTGGGATCCAGAAAAATATATGAGAAAAGTAGTGAGGGGCATTGCCCAGTGAAGTAGGAGCAAGGAGACAAGAAGTACAGACTGCCAGAAGCTATGGTAGCCAAGCTGCCACCTAACCCAAGTTCCTAAGACAGCAGGGACCTTGTGACTAGCAAAAATAAACACACACACCCCCCACCCCCAAACCATTCTGCTGGGCGTGTTTCTACATTTTGATCACATCAGAATCTTAAAACAAAAGAACGCAGAGACAAAAATCCCTTGTCTGACTACAGCTGAATCATTCACAGGTGCTCACCTGAGAAAGGGCTGCTCTATAAAAGCAGCAGTTGTGCCAGGCTGAAGAGCCTTACCCAAAGGGAGCGAGCACTTTCAGATCCTGCATCACTCAGTTCTGTTTAAAAATTAATCCTCCAAGATTTCAGATGCATTGCTAGCTCTAAAAGCATCTGTTTCCCTTGCTACTGAAGTAATTTTAACCATGTGGGTACTTTTTGAACTAATTTTTTTTCTAAAAACCAATGCAGTTGCCATTGAGCTGAATGTATGGACTGAAAAGGAGCATCCCATCTGTTGACATGCTGACAGCATTAAACTAGTTCACAACTGGGTGATCTTTAGTTTCATATTCAGATTTTCTCTCCCTCAAACTCATGAAGCATTAACAAAAAAGCAATTTTTAAAAAGTCTTGGTTTTAGAAATCAGCAGATAAAATGAAGCCTGGGTAATATTTTGTGCTACAATAAGGGTAAAACAGATTAAAGTCTTGTGTATTACTAGTAGAACATAAGAATGCTGTGCAGGGCACACTGCAGGCAGACTCCAGGTGGGGAGAAGGAGCAAAGAAAGACCAGGAGCTTGTCCCTATCAAAATATAAAAGTTCATTTAAAACTAAACTAAGAGGCTGAAAATGTTCCAAGATCACAGTACAAAGGGCCAGAATCAACCAGTGGCTGAAACTCGGGACAGCTTCTTGGGGGAGTTCCATCACGTGATTTTACTGGGTCCCACATCCCCCAAAATTTAAGCTGCAGGTAACAGTAATGGCCTTTGTAAAGCATTTTGAAGCATAAAGTGAGTAACTGGCAGCATTAGACACTCCTACCATTGTCTCAAGGAGAAGTTCACTTTGTCAGAATATTCTCCAGAGGTGTCAAACAACACTTTGTATCATTTGAACTCAACTTTGGTATTCCAAAAGTGAGAGATGATTACTTCTCAGTAGCTTTTTAAAGATTTGGCAGAAATGGAAAGGTCCAACTCCTTAAATCTGACTTCTCATGTTGTTGTGCAGTCTTGGGCTGCTCTTAGCCACTGTAATGGTTCCACCTGCCTTCCTTTGCTCTAATTCCATTCTTAATGGTTAATGATCTCCTCCACCAGCACAAGAAATGCCAGAAACACAGATGAACAGCAGCTAATCTCAACATACTGATGGTTTGCATTTATTTCTCAGTATTGGAGCCTTTATTCAGGAGAATTTACATAAATGGCCAGCTGTATCAAGAACTTCAAGTAGTGGTTTGAAGTGACTGCACTAGATAAGCCTATAGCATTAAGATTTTAATGTTCACTTTCCCTGCAGTGACTTTGCTTTCCACTTCAAACGATCCTGATTGCTTTATTATTTTGTATTTTGACATATACTAGAAGTGAGTCAGAGGAATCTCAAGAGCTTAATCTTGACCAGCTACAACTTACTAAAAGGTCTGTGGCTGGAATATTAAATCACGTTAGCTGCCGTGTTTGAAAGACAACCTCTTCATGAGGAACACATTAAATCATTCATTCATTTATGCTTGGGCAGCCAGAGAAATCAGCCCATAAGGTTCTAATGCCTTAAGGGCCATCCTTCACTATCTGTGCCTCTCCCCACCCCAAACCAGAACGCTACACCACTTCTGTTTGCCCTCCACAACAGTTTGCTCAGACACTGATGGAGAACTCCTCGGACAGACAGAGGTTGCCTCTTGCAGGAGCAGCAGGAGCAGCATGGCAGCCACCCCCTCTGCACCCCAGGGGCACCACACTTGGCTGGGCACGTCATCCATTTACTACTACATGGGCCTAGATCTTCTTGCTCTGGTCATATCCTCTCTACCATGACATTTAGGGAGCTTTTTAAAACAGAAAATAGGACTGAATTTTGTTCAGGCAGTTTCAAGCCTCTGAATACACGCAGTTTATAATTGGGTTATCCACATCCTGTAATGATGTACAGCTGAAAAGTGTTCTTTGAAATCAGGATTTCTCCTGGATTTTGTTTTGTAGGAAAGTAGAAGGGGAACTTGAAGTCGTTTGGGAATCCACATCCAAAGAAAACAGGAGGATGAGAGAACTGTTATATAAATCCCTGAGGAAGAACACCACGTGGAGTTCTGTCACAGCTCAGGAGCTCTGCTTGGATGAAATCTCTCAGCAGGACCTAGCTGACAGGCGTGATTTTAGCTACTGTGATGTGAAACCTTTATCCCCAACTAGAAATGATGTTCAAGAAGAACGTCAGTGGTAAGAATAAAGATGTGCTGTGCATCTCATCCAAGAAAGAGAACTCCCTGCCTCAGCTTCACCTTCTCAACAACACAGGATGCAGCTGAAGAGTTACCTCTGTCAAAGTTACTGTATGTAACCAGATGTAAGCTTTTGGCTTTTGATTCTTTTCCATAACAAAACCTAAATGGCATCAGAAAACTACAATACAAAAAAAAACAGCAATACAAAACCCCTGGAACTATTGTATCTGTATAATACTAGAAATAATGAAAAAAAAATCTCATTTGCTTTGATCAAAGTGAACAAAAAGTAAAAAATCAAGTTAAACACCAAAAAGAATAGATACTGTTCATGTCTAGAAAGTTTTCTGCCTTCCTGAGGCGTTTTCCTTCAGGGCAAGGCCATGACTCAGCAGAGCAGGGTTGTTCAGGCCTGGGTGGGGAGAGCACCTCCTACCACACCCCTGTTTTCAGCCTGGTGTGTATGTGCTGTTTAAAGCCAGTCGCCACAATATAGTGGAAAGTTTGAGATTCTACAGACTCTCAAAGCACTTGCAAAAATCTCTGTGTGCTCAGGTGCCACCTTGATGAAAGACAAAACCCCAGAGGTAGCCAAGTCAAGTGTATGAGAGTTCTACAGTCAGTGGGATTTGAATATGCACTTTAGCTACTTCGGTGGGATGAAGTGAAACAATCTCACCAAGCTTATCAGGATAAATCTTCAACATGCCACATTAACACTGACTACCAAAACTAGCACTAATATCTTATGGTTCCTTGTAGGGACTGAACAAGAGGTGTATCTATCTTCCAATTCCTGGAGCTTGGTTATTTTAGGACTCAGTGACTCACAGTAACAGCTGAAACATTGATTTTTACACACAGACTTTAAGTTGCTGGGGACACGTGGGGCAGGTTGCTGGGTTTTTGGGGGTGGGGAGGGTGGCCTGTTGCTAAACCAGCCCTGTCTCCTGTCTTCCTTTGCATCTGAAAAAACAAATTTGACATGGAAAGTCTGAAATAACCATTCAGCCAAGCCATGCACAGTCCCTGCGTTTCCGTACGAGCTCCACGTCCAAACATCCCCAAAGCACACAAGCAAACGTGGCTACACCCACAGTGTTCTTCACGTTTTTGAAGGCAGGCTTTGAAAATGAACTCTTGATATAGGGGAAGAATAGTAATAGATAAAATAATGATTAATTTTACATATTAAGAATTTTAAAGTATAGAATAGTATCATATAGCTTAAGAGGAAAAGGAGCAGCTAACAGATGGAAAAGTTTGCTTTCTCTTCCTAGCAAGGATTTTTTTACAGACAGAAGGGACATTCTGACCTTATCTAAGTAAAAGCAACCCTGAGAAGAACACTCAACCATGAAAAGGGCTTTCCCACCTCATCTAGAGGACAACCATAAGGAACAAGAATTAGAAAACAGGATGGCACCCATCACAAAAACATCAATAAATCCCCTTGCCGGATGGTAAACAAGGACATGAATCAGCTCAGACTGATAAACACTATGGGATTGAGAAATCATGGCATTCCAGGGAAAGGGTGAAGAGCACAGTGTGAGGAAGACTATACTCTTCCTCCCAGAGACCACTGCCCACATCTGGAAGACCCCTGCCGATCATTTCTGGGAAGAGCTGCGCAAGCGAAGGACTGATGAGCTAATTAACATATGAATGGGAGTAGGCAGGGTCAGGTAATGAATATGTACAGGCATGCCATGAATATGCATTGTGCCACTGTATAACGTGGGAGGACTTGCCTGTGGTGCAGCCATCCCTGTGCATCTGCACAATCAACACACCCACTGTGGAACTGCCCAGTTCCAGAGTCTGTTTCCCTACGTCAGTGTCCTATTTTCCAGGTCAGCATCTCTGAGGATGCAAGTGCAACCTTGGAACTGCATGTATAAATGAAAAAAACTTCTTATATGGGAAATTCCTTAGGGATAGAATTCAGATTTTAAAACTCAATATTGACTTAATTGTTCTTCCACTTACATAAACTGGGAACATCTCAGAATTACACTTCTGCTGCTTCTGCTTCCCGTTTTCACACCTCCATTTCAGAGCAGCTTTTAACACATGGTTCAAAGGACATCCCATGCACAATGACACTTTACGACGCTCAGAAGTGCAACACTTGCTTTTCATTTGCATGTCATTAAAACATTGTGTTAAACTTTAAATGAGCTAACATTTAATCAGCCCCCTGGGAGTTTACCCATACTCTGTCTCCACAGGATTTGCAAGAAAACAAAGAATACATGGTGTCTCATGGATAAAAACAGTGGTCCCCAGCCACAAAAGAACTTTTTCAACTTGCCAAAAAATGCCATTAAAAGATTATATTTAAAATACATACGTATGTGTCATTTACTTGGATGGTAAAATCCTGGAATTGTTTCAGATGAACAAAAGCAAACATTTGCAAGAGTGTCAAGCAATGTACAAATAGAATTAATGATTAGACAGGTGCTTCTCTCCACTTCCCTCTGACAGCAAAGGAAGTAATTTTCTCTTTTTACTCTATGAACAACTAAAAGAATTGGGTTTTGCTCAAGTCTCTTTCAGATGAAAGATACATCTTAGGCTCTGTATGTTTATCATCATGCATTAAACCACTTGGTTTTAGTATGTTTCTATGTACAAAAACTACATGAAGTGTTTATTGCAGACCACCAATTGTAGGATTAGGAAAAAAAGATAAGAGGCATTGCACATGTAAGTATCCTTCTGAAAAATATGTGTTTTCTTTTAAATTTAAGACACAACATTTGAACATCAAGTGAAAAAACAAACAAACCACAAAACAGAAAAATCCCACTGAAATTACTAACAGAATTGGTAATTTCAAGAGTTAAGATTGCCTAGAAGGTAATAGCACTACTTAAAATAATTAAACAAAAGTCCCAATGTGACAAAAGCTAACTAGAAGAAATAACTAAGATCTTAAAGGATGATCAGCATCCCTTCTATGCTTAAGAAGGGCTGAACTTAAAGAGTTACAATAAAGAGACCTTTTATTTCACAGACTGAAAATACTTGGAATATACATTTTTCTGTATGTTGCCATAGAACACAGGCATTTATCCAGCAGAATGAACCCTGATTCAAGTTAAGCCACTAAAACAAATTACAGAATACTTTGGTTGCATCTGAAATCAGAAGAAAAAAAGTTTTGAATAGGTTAGTTTAGAATTAGGTTAGAATGGGGAAAATTTGAGGCTTTTTTTTAATAGCATATACATGCAAGTACCAGATCCACCCTATTGAAATGAAGAGAACATTCTCCTCTGATACTAGTTTCTCATTACAAATTATTTTTTTAATAGCATATACATGCAAGTACCAGATCCATCCTATTGAAATTAACATTCTCCTCTGATACTAGTTTCTCATTACAAATTAATTCCATAAAGATATACTACCAATAAAACAATATTTCAACATCTTAACAACACAATCAGTGAATTAGATGCCAGTGCTGAGAAGTCCAGTCCATAAACACACTTTAAATTATGTTCCAGTCAAGTAACAGACTGACACAAAGTGTTACTGAAACTCATTTACTTTATCAAAGGAGCAGGAAGAAGGGACACATGAAATAAAGGCAAACAAGCCTAAAGAAATAGATGCACCTCATCACAGCATGAAATAATAGTTAGAGAACAGAGTGATCAGCAGTGCTCAGGTAGGGCCACCAAGGACTCCATGAGCAGTGACTAGGCAAGACTGTTACACCATTTCACTTCAGCTGTCAGATCCGTTCACCTTCCCAAACTTCTCCTTTTGTAGCTACATTAAAGCCCCAGTTCAACCACAGCTGCCTGGTGCTCAGTGACTTCTGAGCCCCACTCCTCCTGCCCTGCTTCAGCACACAGGCCAGGACAGAGGTGCTGCAGGGTGTGAGAGGCAAACCAGACAAGTGAGGATGGAACTGACCCAACCAAAACAGCGGCTGGTATGTGTTCCTCCCTTTAAAACAGTGTCAGACTCCTGTAAAGGAATGGTGTTAGGTAGTGCAATCTAAGTTTAATTGACAATTAATTATGGTCTGAAGATCAAAGGTGAAAAGAAGGGCGTTGCTTTGACTACAAAGATGGGTCTATCTGCACTTTTCCATCTTCACTGTGGTAAGCACGTTGCACATACCTGCAAGTATTCTGAACCCTATTTAGTACTTACTGGTTCTCCCCACTGGTCATTTGGATTTAGTCATCTTGCAATTCCAAGCAGAAGCACAAACACTTATTTCTCAGGTTTTGATATGAAAAAAATCTTTTTAGTCCATATAATCTAAAACAATGCAGTCAAAAGGTCAGCACTACAAAAAGGAGTTGAAAATGAATTTTGCACCCTGCATTTTAGCAATGTACTAGGGATGCCTCCACAAGGGTAAAGAAATAGTTCCAAGAAGAACAATTTGGCACAGACAAGAATTAGAGCTTCCTCATAATTAGCCAGTATAAACAATTCTGCATTAGCAAGTAAAAACCTACAGATCACATTAGGTATTTCTAAAGGTCAACTTTAAAACCTCAACTGTAAGAGAACACTTCAGCAAAGACAATTTTATTTCACAGCACTACATTTGCTAGGAGCCAGATGCAGCTTTTTCCATCATCATGGCAAATATTTTTCTCCCCTGATACAACAGCTGACTAAAAGCAACTGAAGGAACTCCTGCACATTCAGAATAAACCTGCATGTGCTTACCAAAGGGAAAGAAATATTTTTATGATGTTGAACTGCTTGGGTGATAAGATACCAAATCAGGAGAAAACTACATTTGATGGCCTTGACATAGTTGTATAGTGCAGAAACAGAACTCAGCTCTTACTTGGGTGCTAACGTCACCTGCTTTAAGAGACACGAACAGTACCCACGAGCATTTTCACAAGAGGCAGGAATTCAGCTCTTTCAAACCTATATAAAGCTTTAGTTTCCAGAGAACTTGCTCCCATGAAGTCAGTGGTCCTCATGAACAGAGATTGTGACAGTGGTC